TTTTTTTTTTTTTTTTTTTTTTTTTTTTTTTTTTTTTTTTTTTTTTTAAACGGGCCCAGTGCCCAAGGCACGTTGAAGCCAATGGAAAACTATGTTAAAGCTATGGTAAAGGTTTCAGTGCAATGAAAGCTATAGTAAAGGTGCACAGGGTCTTTATCATCCATCCATCTGCTGATGGTGGCATCATCATCATCATCATCATCATCATCATCATCATCATATCACTGTCATTGTCATGATCGTCCTCGTCCTTGTCCTTGTCATCATTGTCATCATCGTCGTTGCTGTCGTTCGTCCTGATGATCAATTTCATCGTCGTCGTCTTCTCTTCTTCCGTGTATATAGCGCAATTCACCGATTGAATTATTGATTGACAGCTATGACCCTGGGTATAGTACACCCTCATGTTGGCCCCCACTTCGATTTCTTGAGGGCTCTCCGGAGTCTGAGCAAAAGCGGGGTAAAATTGCTGAAAAAAGTGTGAAAATCGACTTCACTCATCTTCCTTTGGTCTACTTTACTGGCCTGACAAGTAGGGGGTGGGCAAATGCAAACATTCATGCAAGCCGTGTAATTCTTTGCATCTCAGATTTGATTTCTTTGTGTGTTTGACTTTCCCCCCTTCCTCCTCCCTCCCTTGTTTTAAATTGCCAAGCAGGCATCGCTGTCATGTAGTCGCAGCATGTTCTCTGGCGATGCCAGCTGCCTCCGCCCAGCTCTCGTCGGATCGGCAATGAGAAGACAGGAGAACGCAACTGGGATCTTTGCGATGGCGAATCATGCTCAGGAGATGACCGACATTCGGGCAATGAGCACGGATGACATTAATGCTGCAGTGGTGGGGATAAAGAGAGAGCTGTTCGACCTCCGAATGATGCAAGCAACCCGACAAGAGATGAAGACTAGCGATTATAAGCGTCTGAAAAAAAGGGTAAGTTTCCCCTCTCTGTTCTGTTGCTTATCTCATGACTCTCATTTTGCACACAGTTGAAACGCCCTCTCTATCTTGGGTGTCCCCCCCCCMCCCCMCCCCTCCCTCTCCCCCCCCTCTCTCTCTCTCTCTCTCTCTCTCTCTCTCTGTGTGCCCTCCTTTACCCCCTGCGGGACACACATGCACAGTTGTGACACTGCCTTTCTTATTCATTATTGTTTCTGTGCTTGTTCGCGTAAGAGGTCTTCCAGTTTTTGGATCTCGGGTCGTGAAGGGAATCGTCCGTTTGAGATTAGTCTTCGCCGAGTTTACCATGTTTGTGTTCCCTTTGTCATGCAGTGTGTATTTTAGGTGACTTGTTTAGACAGCTCATGTTTCCTGCCTAGTCTGTTGATTAAGCTATATTAGTATTTAGTATTTGTGCTATTTATAGATCTGTTTATTCGTCATCTATGGTGTGTTGGTTCATCCCTGGTCTGTTGCTTTAGCCCCTTTCAAAAAAAGAAAAAAAAAAGAAAGAACAGTGACGCCAATGAGAAGAATTCTTGCCATTTGAGGACAGAATGGCAATGCACATTGAGGGTATAAGGGCATCTGCGAAATCGAGACCTTGCGCATCTCCCAACTCGTCCTCGGTTTCGTAACCTCTTTCGTGATAGGTGCTCCTGAGTCTGTTCCCATTTATTATTATTATTATTATTTTTTCCGGATCATTGTGCTGTCTGTTCCGGAGTCTGTTCCCCAACTTTTTTCTTTTTTTTTTTTCTTATTTATTAAGGGAGACAGACTTGAGATGTCATCAATGAACCGACCAGCCCCAGGTAATTGAGAATAATTTTGTTCGTTGGGGACATCCGTTAAAATTGGAACGATACAGTGAAGATTAGCATGGCCTCTGCGCCGCAAGCATGGCACTCATATGTTATGAACATGATTGCCCATTGAAATTTTGTCAACGCTCACTCACAGGAACTCCCGTACACGCCCATACATGCACAGAAGGAAGGGGAGAGGCAGTGGAGTGTCACACCGCCCAACAGAAGGAACACAGCGGAAGACTCAGAGGAGCGAAGTGACAGAACACACAACACAGTGAATTCTCTCCACAGAAATCCCAACAATCATTCATAGAAGACAACCGAGAGATCACAGCCAGAAACCATTGAAGAGATGACAACTCAGACACAGTATTAAAACTGTTTATTAAACTCAGAGCATCGTTCAACTGAATAACCTCAGAACCCTCTTGCGCTACCCTCAGAAGGTTAGTGCAGCGCCTCAACCCCACACACTCTGAACAGCTAAAAATAGCACCAGAACCCCAAGTAACACACAGCGCCACCCTGACATTCAACTCAGTGGCCTGCGCCAGTATGAAACAGGCTCCCAGAGCCAATCGCCACTCAGATGATGAAGAAGAAGCCCAGCGCCAACAGTCTCTGATGAAGATGAAGTCCAGACGATGACAATCTCTGAGAAGGTGCAGCTAGGGCTGCATCGCCACTGGGACCCTACTCCTGAGGAGGGTCAGCAGTGCACCACGTGCTCAACGCATCAGACCTCTGATAGCCCAGACCGCTTTGACTCCCAGAGAGTCAGAGCGGACAGTGTTGAACCCAGTCTGGTCAGCTCTGGGAGTCAAAGCGGACAGCGTTGACCCCAGTCTGGTCAGCGTTCCGAAGGTCCGGCTATGTCCGCCGTCTCCCACGCATGAATCAGTCATCACGACCTGATGCCGCGTGCGCAGCAACTTCCACCAAGAAGAGTCAACTGCCAAAAGCCCAGGACCGATGTTCCCATCCTATCTATACTCTACCCTAGCCTAGACTCAACCTAGACCGGACTGACTGACCGACCGGTACTGTTTCTGTTTCGGCCCTTAGGGCCTCCCTCTACCCGGCTATAGGCTATAGGACCGTCTACCAGCGTAGGCCCATCGGGCCCGTCTGTCCTAGGGGTAGCCCGGGTCTGCTATTCGCAGTTAGGATACCTGTAGGATATTCGAGTTAGTACGGGGCCCATATTTCCTATATTTACAAATATGTCCCTCACGAATTTTCCTTACAGGTAGGTCTCTCGGTTAGCCCTCAGCCAAACAAAATTACGAATCTATCCCTACCTGTGGTACAGCCTCGTCAGAGAGAGGCTACAGGCAATCTGGAACCAGCAAGTCGTTGCACATAAATCGAGAAATGGTCCCACGAAAAAAAAAAAAAAGAGGCTTTTATCTGCTTCCACAAGGACTCGAGCCCATGATCTGTTCATCAGCAGTAACGTACGTGTATCATTCAGCTGCATGAACTGGGAAGTCCCTTTTTCTTTATTATGGAATTAACCAGACAAATCACTCCACCAACTGAGAACGGCCATGCACCACCACCCATATAATCAAGAAAGAGCCGGGTGGACGAGTGCTGATCTGTCCTTTTTTATGAGCAGAGGCTAGGCTGTTTTGCCGGGCGCCCAGGCACCCAACTTATGCCCGGGTACACGCCCGGGTGCCCAGCTGAGCATAACCCTCGGGCAGGGTTCCGGGCAGTCCCAGCGCAAAAAAAATAAAAATAAAAAAATAAAATTAAAAATTTCCGGAAAAAAAAAAATGTTGTGTAGAATTGCAAATTTGAAATACAAACGACTTTTGGCTTAGGGTCACATCAGAATTCCACTCAGAATCGGAGATAAAAAAGAAAATAACAGAATCGCACTAAGACGCCCCCCTTTAAACCACTTTAGCACCTTTAAAACCAATTAATGCTCCCCTTCCCCTCGCTTGACAGCCAACTCTCAAAAAATAGAAATGAGCCCGGCTTTGGGGTCCTCTGGTCAGAAAACCGAATAAATAAATAAATATATATAATATATGTATATATCGTCACACACACACACACACACAGAGGGGCTATGACAAACTGTTTCGTCGGAGTTTCACCGACCCATCAGGAGACTTAACCCTCTCTCTCTATATATGTTTGATGATACCAGCGGCGTGTCTGGAGTGTATTTTTTGGCTGTGACAGACCTTTCTTTGTTTCATGGGTGTTTTGCTTGCTAGTGATGGGGTGTGAACCGACAGTCTGTAGAGTTTTCCATCTGGTCTGTGAACCTTAAGGTGGATTATCACTTACAGTGTAATCAGTTAGGGGACTCTGCAGGCTGTTGAGGGTTCAGCCTCCTGATTATGAGTCAGTTGGTGAAACTCCGACGAAACAGTTTGTCACAGCCCTTCCCTTGTTTGTTGTCCTCTTCTCTCTCTCTGCATACAGTTTACCCGGCAGTTCTGCTTGACTATATATATATCGGCCAGGCCGGGCGTGACAATCTTCCGAGGGCAGAGGCCATGCTAATCTTCTCTGTATCGTTCGAGTTTTTTTACCGGATGTCGTGAAGGACAGTACTGACCTTTCCTATTGCAGCTTCTTGCCAGTTCACCACTTTGTTTCATGATCTGCATTCCTGGCATCTTTCGTGATCGGTCTGCACGTCTGAACCAGGTCTGTTCCTGGTCTCTCTGGTGCTCTGTTGCTAGGCTTCTTTCCTGGTCGTGTCAGGTCTGTTCCATATCTGTTTCAGGGCGGTTTAGTGGTCTGTTGCTAGGTTCATTTCCTAGTCCGTTCCAGGTCTGTTCCAGGTATGGTTCAGATCTGTTTTTCCAGGAATGTTTCGTGGTCTCGTGCTAGGTTCATTTCCTTGTCTGTTCCAGGTCTGTTCCAGGTCTGTTCCAGGTCTGTTCCAGGTCTGGGTCAGATCTGTTTTTTCAGGTTTGTTTCGTGGTCTGTTGCTAGGTTCATTTCCTTGTCTGTTCCAGGTGTGTTGCTAGGTCTGTTCCAGGTCTGTTCCAGGTCTTTTTCAGGTCTGTTCCTGGTTTAAGGCCCGTTTCCGGTCCGTTCCAGGTCTGTTGCAGATCTGGTTTTCCAGGTCTGTTTCGTGTTCTCTTGCCAGGTTCGTTTCCTGGTCTGTTGCTAGGGCTGTCTCCTGGTCTGTTGCTAGTGTGTGTGTGTGTGTGTGTGTGTGTGTGTGTGT